GAGAGAGAGAGAGAGAGAGAGAGAGAGAGAGAGAGAGAGAGAGAGAGAGAGAGAGAGATGCGTCACGGTTCGCTCGGATGCTAGTTCCTAGAGCGGCAAATCGATTATTTTTCTCGGAAATGAAACCGTCCTCGGTCCTCTCTCCGAAGGCGGCGAGCGGAGGAATCGCGTGGGTGGTGAGATAAAAGCACGCGCCACCGCGTATCTCCGCTTAGATTCGCGGAATCTCGATTAGAAGCTTTTCCACGAACCAATTTCCCCTCTCCCCTCTCCCCCTCCCCGCGCGTCTTTTTATCGTTCGTGTCGAGTGCGCTAGCATGATTCGATTTCGATATCCTCGTCCCGATGCGATCACCTTCGTCCCCTCGTTGCAATTTCCATCGTCGGTTTCCGTTGGAAACCGGAAGTTCCGCTCGTTCCAACGTTATTTTTGGCCCAAATCAAGGTTTTTCGGTCGAGAAAAAGCAGCGCCTCGTAAAGCGGGTGAATAAGGAAAGTGAGAAACGAAACAAGAAAAAAAATAACAAAGTTCACGAAAGATGATAACGCGAAAGGTGGGAGAGGAGGGGAACGTTTATAGCGTAAATAGATATAGCGTGTGGGGGGGGGGCGAAACGGGAGGCACAGGGAAGTGGAAAATTAATTTTCGAGCGAGTAACCCGTTGAAACTCGCCTCGTATAAATATGCATACGCGTTTAACGTCGGCGGGTGGCGGCGAGTCGGCTGCACCGGCCTGGCATGGAAGGGGAGAGAGAGAAAGAGAGAGAGAGGAAGAGCGAGAGGGATAGAATTACGAGCCAATACCTGAGGGCTAAGTGCATGGAATGGTTGCGCGCCACGTACATTAACCAAACGCGTGTATCTCGCACGAGAGAGAGAGAGAGAGAGAGAGAGAGAGAGAGAGAGAGAGAGAGAGAGAGAGAGATGGTTCGATGATGCTGCTGGTAACGCAATTAGCCGACGCACCCTACCCGCTTCTATCTCCCCTATTTTATTTCATTCGACAATCGCCTCTTTCAAAGTATTGTCTTTGATGTCTTATAATGTCCCTGAAAAGGTCTTATGTATACATTATAATCAATACGATAATTTGTGAGAATTTGTAAAAATTTTCGAACGACATTTATCGAAAATTTACGTATGTTCTCCCCTTTGAGGGAGAGAGTGCAAGACGATACATGTCAAGAATGTTAATCGATCAAGAGAGGATGCCGATTTCTCGCAAATCTATAATCTGATAGAAATCATTCTTCCCCCCTTTAAGAGATTAATGTGAAATCCTCGAGAAAAATGAGACCGTCCTTCTTCCCTCGATCGAGTAAGTAAATATCGTCCTGTCCATCGATTATTTCTATGACGACGAAGAGATGGAGAGGAGAGGAGAACCGAGAGAAGGAGAGAAGAGTATTTGAATAAAGCTACCCACGCGCGATTCCGAGAAGCCTTGTTAAACCCGTGAAAGGAATCGCGCGCGCCCTTTCTTCGCTACGGTAACCAGAATTCTTGGAAGTCTTTCTCCGACCTATCGCCGCGAGTCGTGGCTTACCTTCCCTCTCCTCCCTCTCCTCCCACCCTCCTGTATCGAGAGTAAGCGAAGCTTTCTCGCTCCTAACTACGTCCATTGTACGCGTATATATGTATGTATATATATAGTTTTCGAGCGAGTAATTTGTTGCTCGATCGGTCGCTTAACTTTCTCGCTCGACCGGGAAGAAGAAGAAGAAGAAGAAGAAGAAAAAGAAAAAGAAGAAGGAGAAGAGTATTTTTCTTCCCTCCGAGAGAAAGAATAATCCCTCTCGATTCCACGATAAAGAGAGAGAGAGAGAGATTGCACGACGTGATTACTTTTAGTCAAGAGGACGTCAAATCGTTCAGATCGGACACATCTTTCTCTCGAGAGAAAGAGAGAAAAAGAGAGAGAGAGAGAAAGAGACGCATCTTATCTTGCCGAGGAAAAATCTTCTTTCGAGGAGCATTTTCCGTTCAAGAGATAAAAGACTTCGAGAGAACGTTAAACGATACGAGAAGATGGCAAATACGAACGTCAACAGGGAGAAGAGGAGTCGATTGAACGAGTTTCTTCCTCTTTTCCCTCCTATTGTTCGATACACCTTTCGAGCGGTCGAACGGAAAGAAAGAACGTACGACGAAAGTTTACGACGGTAAAATCGTTCGCATCGGGCCAAACTAGTTTTATTCATCTTGGCAAAGATTCGTCCCCACCGACCACCATCTTTTTCTTCTTCTTCTTCTTTCTCCTTCGTCTCTTTCGTTACACTTTTATTTTCACCGTGAGAACAAAGCTGGTCTGCCGTCGTTCGTTTTCAACGATCCTTTTTAGTCGGAAAGAGAAAGAGGCGATGCACTATTCTCCGCGATATTTGGGATACACGATGAAATCCTAGAACGGATCGAGGCTGACCACCGCGAAACTTCCGATAGAAGTAGGCGTTATACACGATATGATGCACGTGTGCATCGCGACACGTGAGCCACACGTGCATCGCGAGTCGCGCTCCCTCTCTTTCGATTAAGTCGAGCTGTGCGTGGTCGAGTCGAGGAACACGTTTATATTTTCCGAACTATGAGTTCACCGCCACCGATACGCGACGAGCTGTTTCTCTTTCGTCGATCGGATTTTACCTTTATCTCGTTGCCGAGAATATATCCAATCGATGCCAGAGATCGGACAGACGATATCCGACGGATGGTTCCAACGTGCACGTACGCGTAACGTGTGTGCACGCGTCACACCTTTCGACCTCTCCTTCGCGCATGCGCGCGGTTCTGCGTACATGTTTTACCGAGTATCTTATCCGTTTAATTTTAGCGAATGGAAAGTATCTCGCGTGTTTTCGATAACGTTAAAAAAAAAATGGTTGGAATTAAAGCGGTAAACGGTTTCGAGGGAATTGTCGCTATAAATAAATAACCGGTAATCCATTTGGGAGGTATTTAATTATCTAGTTACGATCTACTACTTTTTCTTTTTTTTCTCTTTTTTTTTTTCATGAAGAATTACGTAGTGCATCGATCAATGAATTATAGGAACGAATAACGTGGCACGTGTACTTCTTTCAAAACTTTTTTCAATTTTTTAACATTATCGCAAATAAAATATCCGAACGATAAGTATATTTAGAATTAAGGAAACTGTTTAAAAAAAAATAGCCTAGAAAGACGTATGGCGAATAAGTAAAAATGAGTACAAAAAAATTGCTTCTTTTAAATTGTAATTCTCCTAATAAAATCGAGAATTTGGAGGAAAATTTTTGAATTCTCCCGATATCCAATATCGAAGAGAATATAATACGAAAGGAGGTGGCAATTTTTTTGCATTATTCGACGTACTTTTCACTGTTGAAAAAAAGTATCGCGGGACGGCATAAGGACAAGAAGAGTTCTTTGCTAGAATCTTCTATCTTGCTAGGATTGTCTATCTTTAGTTTTGTTGACGATCCTGATACCACACGTCTACTATAGTAGTAGAAGAGTTATGATTACGCGTGAAAATAGTTTCTTTCCAAATTAACCAATTAGACCTATATTTCTTTCGCGAAACTTTTTTCAAGAAATACTGGAATGGCATCTATGCGTGAAAAATTAATCAATCGCTGTCCATCCGCGTTCATTTTTTTTTTTTTTTTGCGATATCGATATCGAAAACATTTCGTAATACGTGTGTATCATCGTAAATAAACCCTAGATATAAAATGTGATTTTTCCAAAAATTGGTAAATCTTTCGAAAATCAATTTCGATTCGATCGACCAGGATCTCAGAGAATTACGACAAACCGAAAGCAGCCGCATTTATTCCTCACCTCCCTCAAAAGACAAAGGAGAGTTTAATTCCCGAAGTATCGATCGCGCCTTTTCTTTTCTTCTCCTCCCTCCCTTTCAACTCGAAGATCGATCGAAGAAAATCAAAGTTTCACGTATCTCCAAGGTGGAAAGTTGTTTCTTCTTCTTCGTTTCGAGGTAATGGACGGTTTCCTTCCCCTTCGCTCGAGCGCGTTTACCACGAAGCTCGAGTTTGGGATGGCGAAGGAGGAAAGGAGGGACGAGCGAGATAGCAGGGACCGGTTGAAGCGGCGTTCGAGAAACGAGCGAGAGCCGTATTCAACAAAGCTCTCTCTCCCCTTTGTCTCGGTCCCGTGGAAGAAGAAAGGGGAGTCGGTCGAGTCGTGCGCGTGGATAATTCGCGGGATCTCCCACGAGGGAAACGAAATATATTCACAATTATTCACCGGACGGTGACGGTGTTCGACCGTAGGATGCAAATAATAAAGTTTCTCCATCGACAGCGGTCCGATTTAACCAAAATTAAGAACACGTTCGTACTACGTAAATATCATTAGCGCTAATTTTCAGCTAATTGATATATATCGTACGATTTCATAATTCCGAATCTGTTTTTTCTTTTTTCGAATCTGCGATAATCCGTCGTAATAAAATTGTTTTAAAAAAACGAAAGGCAGAAACAGAAGGTGGAATCAATTTCTTTTTATTATTATTATTATTATTATTATTATTATAAATATAATATGAAAAAAATATTACATTAACGGCTTTTAAAATATAATTTAAAAATTATTTCGAAGAATTTTAAGAATCAAATATACGTACCGTATTCGATTCCCGAATATTTCATGATTTGAAATATCGATGATGAGATTATATTTATAACTACTCTTAAGTAATATTAAATTTTTTTCGATCAAAATTTTAAAATCGAATTTCGGTCAGAATCGAATCGCGGGTCAAAATTGGACCGTTGTGCGATTTCTCGATAGTGATATAATTTGAAAGAAAGTGAACGATGACGGTGTGTGCTTTCCAGGGGAGAAATCGAGCGGATACACGGGGAAACCGCTGCCAACGTACAGGCCAGCCTCGCAGTTGGTTCCGCTGGGAGGAGCTGCGAGATTGTTCTGCGAGGCGTATCTCGGGAAGGTGGAGCTGCCGGACGCGAAAAATTCGGTGACTTGGTCGAAGAGCGACAGCAACGTCACGTTGCCGAGTCACGGAAGGATCGCCCAGCACAAAGTTTCCAGGTAAAATTTTCCACTTTATCAATTATTTCGAACTCTTCGAACTTTCTCTATCTTGTCTGATACACGCCTTGATCGAAAGATCGATAAAGGAGAGCGAGAGTCGAGGAACGAGGGAGCATCGAACTGCTAATTAAGCGCCACTTGCCAGTATCGGAATTTGGCTTTGATCCCGAGGATGCGCGCGCATATATATATATATATATATATATACACAAGCTCCTGAATCGGTTAATAGGAGCGTGGCTAACGAGAAACGCCGAGTAATGAAATACCCGTGGTCATTATCGCCAGAAATACGGATTTCGCGAAAGCAAGGACGAGTTGGGCAGGATCAAACGTGGATCAAAGAAAATACGAATCGCCAAAATTCGACGAAATTAACGTGAAGATATATATATATATATATATACACACACATATACACATATATATATAGCTGATTCGCGTTCATTTCCGGCAAATGCAAATGGTTTCGCGTCCAAATTACTATCCTATCTCGCTGGGTAAATTTCGAAAATGGTGGAGACGAAACTCTTTCTCCGATTAGCGGAGGATGAAAACTAAAATTCGGTTTAACTTGTTTCGATTCGCGCGAGGGAAAAGAAAGTGGGAGGTTGAAACGAGGCAAAGAGAGGAGGGAGAGGGAAGATTAACCTTTTTCCTTCACAATGGAGAAGGAATCTTTTCGATGGTAATGCCAATTCCTCGGATGCGGATATATCGTGATTGGGATACGAGTATTTTATCGTTCAAAATAATAATTATGATAATAATAATTGGAAATAACAATTAATTGTAATTTTAACATAAATTAATATTAAAAATATCAATAATTAAATTTATTAATTTTAGATGAAATTTATTGAATTAATTGTAAAAATTTAATTAAAAATTAAGATTAAATATGGAAAATTATAAAAAAAAATTTACCAAATTATTAAATGATAAAATTAAATAATATGGCGCCTTTTTATTCTCTCTAATTTGTTTATTAATTCGAGAGATATAATAAATTAAGAGATATTTAATAAATTAATAATTTATGCATTTATGTTGTTTTATTAATCTTAATAGGTCAAATAGTTAATAATATTTGATTAAATACAAAATTCAAATCAAAACGTGTAATATATTTAACGTTTAAAATGAATTTTCGATAAATTAAATTCGAAAGGGGGTAAATTAAAAGTAAATTGAAGTAATTGATCGATTACACAGCAAACGCGAGATTCATTTACATCAACGCTATTTCCTATTATTTTCACTATCTATTTCATCGCTCCGTGCATACAACGTAAACAAAAATAAATGTTGAATTTTTTTACGACGAAGGAACGTTTCGCTTCTCTCTCTCTCTCTCTCTCTCTCTCTCTCTCTCTCTCTCTCTCTCTCTCTCTCCCCCTCCCTCCCTCCTTCCCTCCTCCCGTTTCGTCGTCGAGCTCGCTCCTCGATCATCGTGGCGAGATAGCGGAACTCTCCGTAAGGCCATGGGTGGTCCATCGAGCGTCTCATATTCTAAACCTCGCCTCGCCTCGTCTCGCTTCGCCGCGCCTCGTCAGGATTAAAACGAGATCCTCGATACCCGAACCGACTCACGACCGCTCACCTCTCGCTCTTTCTCCCTTTCTCCAGATTCCAATTTACATTCCATTCGCTTTTAATCGAGCTTCCATTATGCCCGGATGGATCTCTCGAATTAATCTATCCTTCCTTCCTTCCTCAACTTTCCTAATTTTTTCGAAAAATTCGAAAAAAAGCGGAGGGAGAGGGGAGAGGGGAGAGGGCGAGAGGAGGTGGAGGAGAAGGAGGAGGTGGAGGAG